GGCTCCGGTCCCTGCAGCCCGGCCTCCTCGCTCCTGCCCGGCTCCGGCCGAGGCCTCCCCGCTGCCGCGGCACTGGGAAAGCGGGGCGCCAGCGAGTTGTCAAGCCGGGAGCCCTTTCCGGGTGCGTCTCGGCGCGTATTGCTGACCCCCAACCTCTCGCTCTGTCCTCTAGGCTGCCTTCTCGCTGACAAAGATCCTGGAGGCGACGTCTGCTGTATCAGCCCAGGTGGAAGAGCTTGCGACCAAATGTTCTGAAAATGCCAGATTTCTTAAGACATGGCGGGACCTGCTGAAGGAGGGGTATGATTCCCTGAAACCCAGCGAGTAGCTGGGCCGTCATGGAAAAAGTGGGAACTTCTGCTGCCTGATGAGGGATGTTGAGAGGGGAGTCATCCCACAGTATTTACCTTTTGCTGACCGTGCCTTGTGACAGTAGAGCTTGATTGGCATCATACCACGTTGTCTGCTTATATTAGACTTGAATGTGTTACTGCACACTGTGCCTAGTTTTTTTTTTAAAACAACTTTTTTAGCGATTTCACATGGTGAGTTTATTTTTTCATCAACAACTCATTTTGAGCTAGAAGAGAGTTCTTTGGAAAATACTTGTATGTGTACCAAAACTATGTATAAGTTTCTGAGTAAAATAACTTTGTTCAGGGGAGTTATCAGTTGTAACTCTTGGACTCCTCCTTTGCAGCTCAGGTGATCTCATATGTGAAAGAACTTTCATTTTTTGCTAATATAATGGAGACAAAGTTAACTTGTAAGGTACATCTAGAACTCACCAGCTGTGGGGGGGAGTGGTAGCCCATGAAAATATAGTCAGCCATCCTTTTAAGAACTTTGACTGTGCTAGAAGAAGCCCTCTTAGCTCCAGGGAAACTTGTCGAACTAATTTTTCTTTGTGCATGCTTTTTCTTCAGGTTGAGGATGGGATAATATGGCTAGTGAAGTCTTATTTAAGAGCTATAGATAAGCCACCCTATCCCAAATCTTACTATTTTAGGCAGTATTGCAATATATTTCTATAAAGATGCATTTGTTTTACAAACAGTTTGATAATTGGAAACATGTTACGCCAGACTTTTTGTAATAAATACAAAGTGCCTTATGCATTGACCTTAGATATATGTTTGGTAGAAATTTAACTGTGTTGCTTACTGATAGGATGGATTATTTGGAATTATTAATACAAGCTTCCTTCAGTTAGAATAAGTGTTTGTAAACTGTATTCTCTCATCTCTGGGGCAGCAGCTTGTTCTGTTTTTGGCCTATTGTATGTCCTGCCTCAAGCAGTAACTAATTAGTTAATCTAGTTTGTACTATAAACAGGACCTTTTGGTCTGAAAGATCACTAATCTGTAATAAATAGTTGCATTGAAACTTCTGTATCCCTTACCAGAGTAATGTGAAAAAATAATGCTGAAATGCAAGGGGAAGCTTCAGGAGAATGTGGCTGTACCGTGACTTGTAGCAAGCCTAATTGTCACTGGTAGGAGGATTTTTAAAAGACAAACCGTAGTTTTGTTATCAAAAGAATAAAGATGTTACACCAAATTAGGAACTAACTAATATTCTTAAGGTACTGGTAGGAAACAAAAAAATACTGAATACATCCATAATCAACTTCAAGTGAAAACAGAAGTAGTGGTAAGGACAGGTGTCCTTAACATTCCTTATAAAAAGCAGTTATTGTCATTGAGAATGCTGAGCTTCTATGATAATTAAAAGGGCAATCCACATTGCAGGAATTCACTGAGCTATTTTTTCCAGTACCCTAAACAACTTGGAAAAGAAGTCACTTTGATCAGCAGATCATGCTTTATTGAAATAAAATATACAGTAGTGGAAACAAGATGCTCAACAAATTTTGATTTCAAGATGATCCAAAATTCTGTAAACAGTTAAAGTGTGAGTCACACTAAGTTTTAATTCAGCTTCTTACATACTTAAGAAGTTAAGTGCAAATACTAGAAGTAACTTTTAACTTTCTTTTAAAGAACTTCAAGATCATCAATGCAGAAGAGGCATTTCTTTTTCTTGGGCTGCTAGGCCATTGGACTGAGTGTGGTATTAGAGGAGAACTAAGGAAGTCATAGTAATTGGTAGTGGAAAATGTTCTTTTCAGTAAATAAGTGAATAAATTGCCTCCGTTTGTGTCCTTATACCTTCTTCTATGTACAAAGATGATTGTTTTAGGTGAGGTAAAATGATTTTACCTTGTAACACTGGGGAGTACAGTACTACTCAAGTGCTCAATGATTGCATTCCCTAAATTATTTTAACCATAATGCATTCAATTTGATGCACAAGGTGATTAAAACTTAGATGGCATGACAACTATTAAGACTGATAGGCCTCTATTTGTCAGTCTCTCACTTGGTTTGAGAGGTGGAGGAGGAATAAAAAGAGACTTAACTTTTCATCCTGATCAAGGATGAGTTGTCAAAAGGTCAGGAACTGTTGCAAGACGAAAAAATTATTTTTGTATCAGTTCTCCCTGCAAGTAGACACATTGATTTACTTTCTTCCTGCTTTGACTGCTGGTTCTGGTGAGTCAGTGTGTCCCCTCCCTTGTTATTTTCCTCATTGCTATAAAGCAGTAAATCCACGTATGTGAAGGTTCATAATGTGTTTATGTGTATGAATTTAGTCTGGTTGACTGTGTAGTCACTGATGCCTCAGAGGAGTCTGTACAAAGAACAGGCTTCGATAGCTTTGGTGTGATTTCATGCATTGGCCACATCTCTATCCAAATGAATGATGGACCATATGTTTTTTGACTGCCTTTTCTTCTTTTGGATCTTCTTTGTCTGTAATTATACCAGACCTGATGAATCATTTCTTTGAAAGGTCGTGTAGTCAGAGTGTAGAGAAGAGGATTCAAAGCACTGTTTATGGGTAGTATAAAAATCACCACCCAAGAAGTTATGGTACCTTAAGGAGGGGAAGAAAAAAAAAAGGAAGCTGTAATAGGTAGTAGTGTTTGTACCCGTTAGTCAATACAAGCACTTCATGCTGATGCGATGCAGCTTCCTTTTAAAAGCCGTAGTCCAGAAGTTTGTGGGGGTCATGCTGAGGTCACATTGCAACAGTGTCATGACACAGTCACAACCCACTCCTCCTGCTGTTTCATAGGTACTGCCGTCCTCCATTCCAAGGACTCCCTGCAAATCCTGACAATTTTCACTTTCCCAGTAGTTCCATTTGTCTCCCAATTTTTTTTGTTACTTTTGTAACAGGGTTCCCTCTTTTTGTTCTGGTTGAGCTGCATTTACTTGCCCCCACATCTGTTTGTCTGCTCTTTGTTCCCTATCTCTTCCTCTGATCTCCATTCCCCATCCACTTCCCCAAATTAATCATAATTGTAACTATGTCTCTGATGTCCTGTCCTCTCCCAAAGCAATGATGTCCTTCACTCACTTTTCCCTCAGAAGCTGTTTGTGCTTGTCTACACCAGGAGTTCTCCATTCTTTCCCATGCAAAATGCATTGTGTACATCCTTATTTCCTTCTTGCCTTGTTGACAGGGGTCTCCATGTTTCATACCTTCCTATACCAAGGTTTCCTGTTCTCTCCTGCCTGCACCAGGCTCTGTGTGCATTTTCCCAGCACCCCATTCTCATCCTTACTGTTCAGGAGATAGGTCAATTCATTACCGAAGTGGCATATGTTATTTCTATTTTTGACAATACTTTCTTTAAAATTCAAATCTCTTTGGTGGTCAGATAGCTTCATAACAAAACATTTTGGAAAGTTTAGTATAATTGAAAATATTTGTACATGATCAATGTAACTTTCAGACATTTGACATTAAAGTCAAAACTTCCAAAGGATAACTCCAATGCTTTTGGTCAGCACATCAGACAAAGCTAAAACACTTTCTCACCAGTATAGTATGGTGACATATATCTATATGTAAATTCACACAGTGGAGCCTGACAGTCTACTGCTGGTAGCACTGTTCATACCAACGTTCTTTCCAACAGGATTTACAAACCCTGCCTGAGGAGTCTGTTTTCCTAACATGTACCGTCCTTGCAAATAAAAGGAAAACATAAAGTTTATTTTAATCTTTCAAGGTGTGCTGTTCACGTATAGGAATTTGTTCCCACCATAAAGAAGACAAGCTTTAAGACTGCCTTATATAACTGAACTTTTCAACTATAAGCACTGGTTTGCAAAAGGAACGCTTTTTCAGGGAAAGAATTATATTATTAAATAAAGATAGGAAATGTTATATTCTTTTGAACTATATTCAGATAGCAGAACCACCAAAAGCCATAAAATGAGAAAAGCCAAAAAACAAGTTCAAACTTGGTTTTCAAATACATGTTGTACATTTTATAGATATTCTATGAAGATAGGCTTTCAAGATTCGAATTGTTGTCTTGGCTGGCTCTGATAAAGGTGACTAATCTTTGATTATTATACTGATATAGTTCAATGCAGTGACGTAATGAACTATATAGTTCATTATAGTGTGTGTGTATTATATATATAGTTACATAGTATACTGTTCATTATAGCAATGTAGTGCAATACATTCAATTCTTTTTCTTCTAAGTTAAGAGTAACAGGTTTCAAATAGAGGCAGTTGGAAGAGCTGCACAAAAGAACGAACTTACCTGGTATTTCTACTTGAAGTAAAGAAAGGAGTTTCAAAACAAAAATGGGTATCCAGCATAGTGCGTCAGTAAATACAATGAAGAAAAAACGTTTAGCAAGGGTCATCTCTTTTTTAATATGATTCCGAATTTCGGTAGCTGTAATAGCTGTCTGGTGAACACTGTAGAACATACTTCCATAGGAAAACACAATGATGATAAAAGCTGCCAAATTTACACCTGTTTAAGAAGTGAAAACTAGTTATCCTTTGAAAGCATAATGGCAATGCCACACGTCACTTATTTGTTTATTGGGGGACACTAGTGATAGATGGTGAAAGAGAATCTTTTGTCTAAACTGTTACTCCCTGAGAATTAAATGGTCAAACAATCTGAGTCTGTCTCCACTTACAACACTGAATTATTGTCTATACTCATTTTAATTATCACTTGATCAATGGTTGCTATCAGATCCTCTAGTCTGAATGTTTCTCTACTTCCCTGACAAAGTCTGCTTATTCAGATACTTAATGGAGCTAACTTCTTTCTACTTTCTGAGCACTTCATGGACTTCAAGATGTGTAAATCTATCTAGCTAGCTAATGTGAAATATCGAGGCTGGAAGAAGTCTTTAAGAGCTTATGGGAGCATCTAAATGTGAATTCTGAATATCACAACAAAGCTGTCATATTTGTTTGAAAACTAGGCTCATTAGAGCCATAATCACTATAAAGAAGAAATGCAACTTACCTAAAAAAATGACAACAGAATAAATCTGACTTCCTGAACTTTCTGATTTTTCTGAATGAAGAGGAAAACAGACGCCATTGGTGCCATAGTAGTTCCTGAAAAATTCCTTATTGCTCAGTGGAATGAAAGCAACAGCAAATCCAATTATCCAGATAAGAACCAAAATGGAAATTGTCCTGCATTTTCTGGGCTTCAAACACCTAAAAGGATAAACTATGCAGATGTATTTTTCCAAAGTCAGGTAAGTCAACAGTAAAACTGACACCTCTGTAGACAGAATAGCCAACGATCCCACCAACTGACAATGAATACTGTCCATCCATAACTGAGCGTGCTTGTTGTATTCTCCACGATATTTAAGATCAAAAGCTCCAATCACAAATAAATATATTCCCATCAGACAGTCAGCACCTGTGGGCATAGTGCTTAACATCATTATTTACACATCTGAATTTTCCATTCTCATTGTGTATATATACATATAGAAAAACAGACAAACATGTAGATATGAACGTTTATTTACAAGTGTCAGCTAATATGCAGATAGAAATCAACAGAATAATTTCAGTGCTACTGAGAATTATAATTAAGACAGTATAATTCAGTTCTATTCCTCCTTTTTTGTTACTCATTTTTTTCTCAAATTTTCATCTGTTAGACTGACTTTCTCTTCCATACTTGTTTCCAAACTGATTTTTTTTTGAAGCTCAAATAAAATTGTCTTGCATATAGAAAAAGATGTACTTTCAACTATGGAAATATTCTTGCGACCTTTTTTTTTTTTTTTGAATAGATCCAGTTCCTTTTGACATTGACATTTATAGTTTGCTTTGAGTAGAGAAACTCTGCTGGACTCAAAGTTTAGTTTAGATTTGTCCACCTTTTAATCTTTCCAAAATGATGCGCATAGTCCTTTAACAAGACTTGAAACTACGCAGCAAACCTGAACAACACCGTACCTGCTTCTCATTAGATTACCAGTGAAAGGCAGAATGCAAAGGGAAGCTCTTGTGCGTGTCTGGAGTAATGCCACAGGGATCACTCCAATGTTCTTGGGGCTTCTTTTGGAGCATCAGAATGAACATTACTGTTGTAGACCATTCAGGATCCCACACGTATCTGACTCCCCAAGATTATGATGTTGGCTTAAAAATCACAGGCTTAAGAGATGATAAATTTGGAGATCTGTTTAATTCCTGAGTATTAATGATGCCTTGGCTTCTCATTGTCAAGTTGTCTTCTGCAACTAGCAGGACAACAAACCTTTCTTGCTTTTTAAGTACTTTGAAATATCATGATTTCTCTTCTTTCCTCTATGCCATTTTGTATGGGCTCTCTAAGAAAAGGCTTAATGGTAAGCATTTCTGTAATACTAGCTCTGGGAAGTGAAGAGAAGCTGTTGACATAGACCTGAACGTTTCTCAGATATTTTGGTAGGAATTTTGCTAGGGTGTTCAGATTGTTGATTCCGATGGTTAAACGAGTCAACAAAGTTTCAAAATCATGGGCATGCTGTACTTAGAAATTCTGCAATCTTATTTTATACATTGTTGCTTTGTTGACAGTTACCTTTCAAAATGCAATTAAAAATTTGTGAAATATGTAAGTTCAGCTAGACGCCCTTGTATCAAAACTAAACACAGGGTACTTGGGTTTATAACAACTGTACTCCCAAGTAGTTTGTCCGTAATGATGTCTTGCTTTTAGGATGAAAATAAGAAATATCAGTCTCAATACTGGAGAGCTAGGAACAATTGATTTTCTGTATTTGCACACACAACCATTTGCTCATATAAAAAAAAATAGAATGAGTAAAACTATCTTGAACACAAATAACATTTACACACACAAATTACTATTTACTCACAATTACATAGTCAAATCTAGGTCTATGGTCCTTCGAAAAATTTGGAATTTTATCTCTTCTTATTGAAGAAAGTGGGAATTCGACACAATGTCTACAGCAGTAAAATCAGACATGAAAGCTTTGGAGTTTATCAGCTGGTTATTGTTACGGACCAGAGGCATTATCTAACAAGACCTCATGGTGCGTAAGATACCATATTCTGTATTGTCATTCACAAGAGCATGAAAGTTCAGTTAATCCAATGCTGCAAATTTGTCAGTGTATTATAGTAACAGATACTATGTATGCTATGATGAGCAGACTAAAGTAATATTCTTTAACTTTTACACGTGGAATACTTACAGCAGAGAGACATTATTGAGATGGCATGGAGTTTATTCTCAGATCTGATGTAAGGCCTCATGCAGATAACAAAGATATTTCCAAAGCAAGTGATGGCAGAGACAACCCAGACAAACACTCTCTGTATAATGCTAGCTAAAAGATTTTCAAGGGAAGAAATGCCATCAGTATTAGGCTTACAGCTGCGTACATGAGGGGCATATCCACAGTACTGGAATTTCTTAAAATATCTAGTTGTGAGAGAAGAAAAAAAAAACAAAAAAAAACAAGAGAGGTTTTCAGTTTGGCTACCAAAATAGCAAAGCTGTCTAATAACTATTTAGAAAATATAAAATGTCCATATTCTGAAAGAAAAAAAAACTAATTAAAAACTGTCAGGTTTCACAACTGATTACATGCCAAGTTTCATGCAGTTTTGTTTTTAATTTTCAGTAATTTGTAAATTGTAAAATTTGAACCAAAGAAAGCAAACTGGAATTATCTACTTACATGTGGGAAAGGTTTCTAAGGGGTCTGAACATTCTTCTCTGAATGTTTCCAATTTCAATGCCTTCTAAGCTGCTGTAAACAATATACTCTTACTAAAACAGCAAGACAAACTCAGTGGTAAACAACAAGCTTATTGAGCATTTAACCGTGTTCCTATGATTATATGAAGCTAGAGGTGAACTTAATTGCATCTAATCTGTCATCCCTTTGAAACTTAAATGGAAAATCTACATAAAGGCTAAAATAAAATAAAATGAATTGCAGCTAATTCGAAAAAACGTAAGTGTTCTTCCAAAAGCACAAAGGAGGCCCTTTTAGTGCTCTCAGCACTAAACAATTACAATTATTATGTTGCCCTTCCAAAGTATTGATCTACTTATGTTCTCTCATTATCTCTAGGAAAATAATAACTTGTTCCAATAGCAATATTTTACATTTCTCCTCTTTCTTTTATACCAGAGAGTGCTTACCAGACAAACAAGCTGCTGTAGGAATTCACTTTTTATTGTGTCAAGAGCAGCAGGAAAGTGGTACACAGAACACTGTGTGCAAGGGAAAACACTGGCATGCTTGCAACACAGAGATGGATTTTCTTATTTTAAAATTTGTTTAATATAAGAAAAATTGCACTATTATGTCCCCTGCAATGCCAGATCAGTGAAATGTAACTGTACAAGCTGTTCTTTAAGAACTTCAGTTTTCTGGTGAATGGTATAAATGCAAATATACACATTTGGGTTGGTGGGCAGTCTTGCTAGGAGGAAAAAAAAAAGGCCCAAACATGGAAACTTGTTGGTTTTAGTTAAGCATTGGAATGAATCTGGGGGCATGCTGTCCCCAGCTACTCCTGTTATTTCAGACTAGGAAATAAGCAACTGGTGTTCTATAAACCGAGTGCTGAAGATAAGGACATTCTGTTTCCGACAGATCTATCTCTGAAGATTTATTGACTTTATTATCTTAAAAATATGGAAGCTCCTAGGCATTCAAATACATGCATTCTTCAGTGTTAAATAATGGCTAAAATGCATGCTGCATCCTGACTGTTACGGAGGTAGTAATTAATTATTCTTTCCCATGCTCAGCTGCTCATTTTCATGAAACTTGTAGAGATTTAGTATTTTCAGATCTTTAGTCATTTGCCAAATTTAGTTGAATTTGGCAACTGGATTCCAAATCACTGTGCAAGAATTGGACTGACAAACAAAGGCATGTGCACAATTGCTCCCAGTTACAACTCAGGACTGAAATAACTCCTACCACTCTCCTATCCAAGGAGGCACTTCTTTCTCCCCATACTCATTTTCAAATGATTACTAACAAGAACCAACGCGGTGCTCTGCTGAGCTGATCACTGGAGACGTGCAGTGGCCTACGGGGATATGTTTAATCTACCACAGGATGGCGTGAGCTTTGCAAGTCTGTCACTGTGCTGTTGCATAGTTTTAGCAAGTGTTCTGGTAGCAAAATTTATGTCAGAGCTGCTGCGTTAGCGCACCTACAAATAGCTCCCTTTATGTTCTTTAAAAAGATTTGTAGAAGACTCGCCCTCTCTGAAATGATAGCTGAATTTTACCTGATTTATTGACATCAATCACATAAATTTTCTTTAATCTTGCTCTGTAATGGCAGAATAGCCTATGTCATTTGTAAAGCTGGATTTAAGATTTCTTTGTGTTGGAACAATTTCCATTACAAAGCTCGTATTTTCAGGAAGAAAAATTTGAATATTGTTAATAGTTATTCTCCAGGTTCAAACTGTTGAGCAACGTCAATGAATATAAAATATTTCAAATGTGATGTCTTATTTAAAATATTCTGACTAATGTCCTTCTAGAAGGAGATTTGCATAATCAGAAAGAAAATATAGCTAGGATTCTTGTACATAAGAACTTGATACTTACAGGGATTTGAGTTTAATTAGAAAATCAAACTGGTCCATTTGTATTTTCTTGATGGGATTATAAGAAAGGTTCCTGTAAATACAACGTAGACGTAAGTATTTTTGTATATCTTCTTTATAGCTTGTTCTGAAGATAAAGTCAAGCTACATAATCTTTTTGCATTTTCAGTCCTGTAGTAAGGACTCATGGTATTGGCAATTACGACTGTGAATAGTAACATTCATTTATCATTATTTGACTTACTAAGCCGGTGGAAAGACTAGTTGGATGCTTCACAGGCGTGCTATTGACACATACACATACTCACACACACAGAGCAGCCCCCCGTGCTTTAATGTTATGACTATAGAAATACTTAATAATTAAACTATTTGAGCTTCTCTTTTAAGTAAAAGAACCTAATTGAACTACATGTGTTTTTAAAAAAAAAAGTTTTATTTTTCATAATCATTTCTGTGCCTTCAAAGAGCAACAGGCAATGAATTGCCACAACAGACAACAGAGTCAGCTGCTATCGCTCAGCGCAAGCATGTTTCTAGATACATTCCCCTTTTCTGTGTCCCTTTTCCTCATATAATGACAGGATTTTGCAACTGTGCTTGACAGAAATGGTCATGGGGGCAGAGGGCTTTGCTCATGAAGTTAGTCTCTAGCGAAACAATCGTTCAGGGCAACAGCAAAGCAGGGATACTTTCTCGAAAGGTACATGGAGTCCGTCCATACGAGCAACAGGCCTGCTAGCGAGCCTTGCTGCTGCCCGGTTCCTCCCGTTTGAAATCAAAATGTGGAACCAAGGCAGGATTAAACGTGCAGGCCTGCGCACTTCTACTTCTGTCCTTCTGAAGTTAAAAGCCAAGGAAAATGCAGTAATCGGCCTCTTTTCCAGTAGCAGCGTTTGACATATGCTTAACAGAAAAAAAGAGTGCCATTCTGGGTTTATAATACCCTCTGCTCTTTTTGACCTCTCTTACAAGAAAGAATTAGTTGCCAACAAGGCATCTGTATGATGCTCTTATATATTTATGATAGTTCTATTTTCAGAGCCAAATCATCGTATCACATATATATCCTGATATAACTAGCATAGCTCATTTTCTATATAGTGACAAAATCTAGACGTGGATTTTGGATATGATGATACACATCTTTCACAAAATTATTCTGGACAAAGAATATAAAACTGCCTTTCAGATAAGTTTTCTTTTAGGCAGAGCTTAAATGAACCATACGAACAAAAATGCTCCTTTCCTTCCTAGCATTCATGACTGCAAAGATCATATTGAGTGAGTTATATGCAATTACATATAATAATAATAATCAATAATTCTTACAGTTGTGAAAGCTCCTTTAGATCCTTAAATATATATGGAGGAAGTGACTCAATCTTGTTGCTAGCCAGGTCTCTGTGGAAACAGCCGTAGGTGGTATATAATAAGTTTTTAGTAGATTCAATAATCTACTAGAAAAGTTTTATAATTTCAAGAGAGACAGTTTCATTCTTACAGAAAAGTTTTATAATATCAAGAGGCAGTTTCATTCTATTTGCCAAGTAGAATATTACATTGTTATATAGGTTATCAGAAACTTGGACTATAAAAGAACGCTGTTAAAACAAGATAGAAAACACGATCCATCAGACTCCTCTTTGTCTGGTTAGTTCAGAAAAGTCATTAGACGCATAATTTATTATTACTGTATTTACATCCAAGAGAAGGAAAAATATTCTTAACTAGGGCTGCAGGAACCTGGAAATAAACTAAACGTATAGTTTCATGCTGAGAAGTCTCTCACATCTCATATGGGTTAACCAATACCACACCTTTTCCTTGGTTCTTTTCTCTACCTTGCTGCTCATTTTCACTAAACTTGGAGGATCTTAATACCTTTGGACAGCGGAGTAACGATCTCAGTATGACTGCAACTGGCAGACTTGTTCAAAAGATACGGAAGGCACACACAAACATAGAATATGATACATAATTAATATGACTTTATCCAGAAGAGCAATATTATTGATACTCTGAGAGTATGTATTTTATTGACTATTTCTTCTTTGTTAAATATTTGGAATAAAACTAAGGATGGATGCTCTCTCCAGATTATTTTACAAGAAATAGAACTTACAATAAATGCATAAAATGCACAGTTGTAAATTATAAAACTTTATCACTTCTATAAATAAGAGAAGAAATCAACTCACAATTCATCTAACATCTGGAGAGAAGAAAAGCTGTTTTCATTTAAAGAGATGATTTTATTTCGTCTCATCACCCTGAAAGGATTAAAAAAAGCTTATATTGCTGCTTCTTGAAATCTATTCGTTTTCTGAGGAAACTTTGCATAAACTTTTAAAATTTGCTGTTATCTCCATCTTCAAGTGTCTGCCTCATTAATTCAGTTAACAAGCTAATCAGTTAAATACTCACAATTTTAATATTTGATAAAGAACTTTTGTTGCCTGTGCGTGCATGTGTTTGTGTATATATTGTGTGTTTTTTTGGTTGTGTTAGTATCAACCGACAACTAAAACTGCAAGGAATTGTCAAAAAATCTTGATTTTTGTGTATGCCAATAGGACAGTACAATAACAGTAACTAAAGATTGTTTGAGAATTCAATATATTTTTTAGGAATGAATATAATCCTTTGCTAAAGTCTGAATGTGCAAACTCCAGTCTTCCTGATAAGTTCACTTAGCTAGGTCTTAATTCGAGTGCTTTTCCACTCATCTAGGACTTCCTTCTATACATAGGATGCTGTTAAGAATTTCCTGTGGGGAGGAGAAGGATTATGTGGGCTAGAAGGCTTGTGATCTAACAGCATGCTGGACATAGGCACATGGTTGTGCAACCTTTCCTTCACCCTTATTTCAGCTGGCAACGTGCTTGCTCCTCCAGTGAATAACCTGGATTTTATAATCAAAGAGAAAGCTAAGAATATGAGTACTGCAAAAGAGGTAAGGATTGAAAGTGACAGCTATTGTGGAGCCAACTAATGTACCAAAAGGTCAAAGGGGTTTTCTGAATATGATTACAGCATCACTAAGGACACTTAGGGGAAATTTCTTCCATTGATGAGCCAGCCAGCCAAGCTTTTTAAAATGAAGAAATGAGCTACAGATTTCATAGATGTAATGATGTTTGCTTCTTTCTGTTAAAAGATTTTTGTTTTCTTTTCCAATTAAGAAATTAGAAAAAAAAAATTCTAAACCTTGGTATCAGTCAGAATCACTTCAGTGAAGTTTAATTGCATATATCAGTGCTAAAAATGTAAACAGTGGTTATTTTGTATTGTGTTCAATTAAAACTGAGAATTTAAATTTAATCTCCTTGAGCGCTAAATAACATACAATTTAAGAAACTTTTATATTAGCTGTTGTGGATAATTTGACTGTTATTCAGCACAGATATGTTTCATTTGGGTTGTGCAGCATGTGCTGTTACTTACAGTACAGTTAGAGTGTTGCAGGAGATGAAAGTGACATTTCTTAAATGTTGGATATGGTTGCCTTCAAGATCTCTGGGATATTAAAAAAAAAAATCACTGAAAATAAATTATTTTTAATCAGACAGTTATTCCAAGATAGTTAAAGAAAAATCTCACCAGAACTTCATGATTTCACAAAGGAGAATCATAACCAGATATCCAATTTTTCTACACACCTAGCTGATGACTTCAGGTCATCAAGCCTGCAGTGAACCCAGAGGTACTCTGTAACATCACTCGTGTCCCACTAGAAAAAGTGGTATGGAAATGACATTCAAGGATAACACAGCAATGTTTTTCTAGTGAAATAAAAGTGGACTTACAGCCAGTTTAGTCTTGGCATGTATTGGCACAGAGGTTTATCGGGCAAACGAGCAAGAGAATTATTCATCATCGCTCTGGAGAAAAGAAAAATAGCATAGCTGGCTATATTTGCTGAAAACTACATGATAGAAAAAATATGTCTCTTATATTTGTACTTTTGAATAAAAGGCACTCAAAGCTTGAATCATTTTTCATAGTTTTAGAGGTAGCATTCTTTTTTTAAACTTCCACATATTTCCTGTGGCCCTCTGTGGAATAGTGTTTTATCTTTAACTTATGAACTACTAGGTAAAGATGTTAATTTAAATAAAATACAGCAAGTTGATAGAAGTATTTTTACTATTATGTCATAATACGTAATTTCCATTCATCACAGAAGAACGGAGTGAGCGAGGGAAGTCTCTCTCGCAGCCGGGAGGGGGAAACGGGGCCGGAGAGCTGGGCAGCTGCTCCTGCGCTGGCTGGATAGGGAAGGGGCAGCTTATGGAGGGGGTCTTGCAGCTGGGGGCCTTAGCTGCTGCTGGGGCAGGAGCTGTGGGGCAGCCCGCCCCTGCCGCTATCCATACCGCCTCTATCCATACCCACTGCACCTCGGCTCCGGGGGCAGCCCCAGCCGGCCGTACGGCGCCGGAGGACTGGCACCCATCGCTACAGCTGCCATTTCCTTGTCGTCTCGGAGGCATAGTGTGTTTTCTCTTTTCTTCTACCTGTCTCTCTATAATTTTTCAGCTACTGTATGTCGATTGCTGCCCAAAACCTCTCTGATTTCCCTGGGAGCAAGTTCAGTGTTTGCCAGGGACATTAATCATAAATTCATTTTATAAGGTGGAGAATCACATATATCTTGGTTGGTCTCTAGTGTGACTTCAATAAAAGCAATTCTGTTCCTATTGATTTTGGTAGTTCATGACTGCATTCAGGTAATTTATCTATGTAAAATGGCCTGAAAAGATGGGCTCCACAGGGGTGGCTAGGTTTCTGAAAAATAAACTCTACTACAACAGTGAACAACAGAGTGTGGTGAGCAAGCATGGTCATTATAAACATACTTTTTAATTTATCTGTTCTTTCTGTTCTTTTCAGTAACACTTTTGGTTCTTATTCCATACTTACAGAAGAATAAGTGATTTGAGTCCGTAAAATGTTAACGGAGAGATCCGATTGATCCTATTATTTTCAATTATCCTATAAATTAGAGCAAAGCATATCTCAGATTGACAAAGGATTACAGTCTTAAATTGAACAGATGATTAAAAAAATAACATAATTGGAAGCGGCTTTCTTCAAATGCCCATTACTTAAAAAAAGTCTTACTACTCAAAAAACCTACTCAAGAAAACAAATGTACCACTCCATAGATAGTCAGAGTATTCATCAAATTAATTCCCCTTTTCAGCACAGTTTGGACAGTTTTTGAACTATTTTTAGCTTAAAGAAAGTAATTACTTTCAATTACAGAAAATTATTTTCTTGCCAGTTTTTAAAATACCTTGATCAGTACTTTGAATGGCTTCTGTGCGAAAACAAAGCAGCTGGATATAACAGTGTTCCAAGACAATCTGTCAGTTGAAAACTCACAGAAATATCAAGCACTTTTTACAAGCAAAGACCTGTCCAAAACTTCTGTTTCTACTGTTTAGTACAGTCTGAGTTATTTAGTAGGAGCTGAGTTATTTCATGTATTATTCTGTAAGAAGCAGTTATTCCTAACAATATTTGCTATTGTAAAATAGGTCATAGTCATCTGAATCATTAAAGCCCAAGGACTAGTTTCTACTTCCACCAAAGTCGATTGCATTTTCTCCGCAAAAATGCAAGAGGAGTTCCTTAATTATTATCTAGTATAAAATAATGCTATGCACAAAAATGAAAATAATATAAATATTTCTTTGTATTGCTTTAATTATTCATTGAGAAAATAAACACATAAATAAGAAAACAACATACAGCCACTCTAGTTTATGGAGATCTTCAAAAACACCAGGCTTCAAACTGGTTATCTTGTTGTGACTCAGATATCTGAAATAAGATTGGTAGAAGATAAACGAATAGAATGCTTGATTAGTATCTCATATGTGAAAATAAATTTTAAGATTTTTCCTTTATAATTTATCATAGTGCCAATAAATTTTTTCATAATTATGGATTGCTTTCTTTGAAAAAGAATCCACTAAAGTATAATAGAAAAATTCGTATGTGTTTCCAGTCTGTGTCTGTCTGTCTGTCTCTCAGGAAGCCAGTCTTTATGAGAGCGGGAAATGAGCAGACCTGTCTTTCATAGAAATGCCAGAGCAAAGCAGAAATCTGTGTTTTGAGGACTTTCAGAAAAACAATTATCTATAACTTTTTGTTTTACCTGTAAAAAAAAAAAACACAGCTGGCTAACTATTTTCACTGTGTCATATTTTAGACCTGCTCCAGTTTCCTTCAGTAGAGGAATAATTCCATTAATTTCCTTGGGATCAAAATTAGTGATTGCTAAAAACATTGCTCATAAATTTAGATACCAGAATCACTGAAAAAGAAATGAAGGGTGGTACTATAAATGGTCTGGGAAGAGCAGGTGTAATAACAGATAATCATCCACACCCAGGTGAAGGAAAAGTAAGATGCATAATAACATTTTAAAATTTTCCCTTTAAAACCATTGCAGAAAAAAAAGTTGAACAATGCAGCTTCTCTATCATCTCTTTCACTGACCAATTTCCTTCAAAGTTATAAATATATTACATAAAGTTGCTGCAGAAAAAAAGTTCTTTATTGGTACTGGCTTGCTTTGGTTTGTTTCTCTAAACTAAATAGAACGTTAAAGAGTTTTTGTTCATCCCAAGCTCTCTTTTTTGCTTTACTCCTTTTTCATTCTTATTGACTTGATGCAAGATAACTACTATACTGTCGTCTTCTGCAATGCAGCAGACTTGTGGAACAGGAGGAAAACACAGAGCTGTCTTGTATTTTCAAAGTACTCTCCTGCCAAATAAAATTGCATGGATAGATATTTCACAGATAGATCTTAATCTGTTTCTTTTTTCAATCAAATCATTGGGCTAAAGGTTTGGACCATTTTGTAATTTCCTAATATTGAAATAAATATGAAAGAGAGAGCTATAGCAACTTTCAAAACTGTTCCCGTTGCTCTTTACTTCCATATTCTAAAAGTGATACTTACAGTTTTGTCAAATTATATAAACCTCTGAAAGCATGTTCAGATACAGCTCTAATTTTATTATTCTGAAGATGCCTAAGAAGATACAGCAACAATTAATTCTCCAAGCACGCGAAGTCAAAGCAAGCATGAATAACCAATTAAAATCTATCAACTAAACTGAATTAAAGTGTGATACTTGAAAAGAAGCTGTCAAACTTGTTACATCTTAAATTCCACAATAACCACTTCACAGCAAGAGCTGCAAAGACTTCAAAGGTGTACTAAAAGAAATAAAAACTAACAGCAGAATTACAAAATTCATTCAAAAGTATATTTGGTTTGCCTAAGATGAACAAAGAAGTGATTTTATACCACCTTCTCTTTTACGTCCTCACTCTGAAGTCTAGTCTGTGTGACCAGATCCTTATGCTTAGCTAGAACTCTGCTGTAATCAGCCAAATTTTGTATGATAAATGTCAAATTTAAACTAATTTTTGAAATTTCTGTTTATAGTATCACTGAATTTTCAAAAGACTACATTTTAAGATAATAATAAAATGTAAAATGAAATTTGCTAATTTTCTGTAAACTAAAGAATATTACACTTTTTCTTTCTATTTGTTTTTAAATCTAATTTGATGGACAAATAAGTTCCAAAATATTATCAGCGACAGATGTTAAATCCTTTTAAAGTATTATTATAAAGCTTTATGGCTTTATTGTCTGAGAATCCCATAAAATACCAGTTTAAGTAAAAATATTTTCAATTACAGTAAATAAAGGGTCCAGTGGCATTCCTTTTTTTCATTCCTGTTGAACCCAGTCAAAAACGTGACTTATGCAAAATGGGATTGTGTCAAACACTGCTCAAGAGCTTTTTGAAAATGTACATTTACAAATCAGAAATATGTGAAATTACTTAAAATTGTAAAGAAATGTTTTATACTGATAGATATGGAGGTATTTCTTCTAATGAAAAGCTCCTTCGGAGACTTCAAGGAAATATGGTACTTTGTGAACACACGATGGTGCTGCAGTACAGCGCTGCTTTCAGCACAGTTAAGTATGATGAGTTTTCTAGGAACTGCCTTAAACCAGTGACAGATTTCTGTTCTAGATTTCTGCCTTTAGTTTCTTAATTGCCCCAATTCTATATAAAATCAAGCTCATTAAAGGCTATGAATTTTTGAACAACATATATGTTACACATCCTAAAACATACACAGTACTATGTTGACTAATTGATTAACTAGTTGGGGCTCTATTAAAGTGATTCTAAACATATTTAGGAGTAAAAGTGCGTGCCATGCTTCCCTATGACAATGGATAGTTTTTCAAACTTTCATTTAGCAGAGTAAACAGATTCAGTTACTTTCATTTCTTGTAGCTTATTACTGCTCATTACAAATGTAACTTCCTTAAGGCATGATGAAAGTTTATGGTATAAAATAATCAAAATAATAAAATTTAATATGTAGAACGCATAACGTTGCAAGAAGGGAGATGCCAAATCAAGCTTTTTGAGGAAAACAGGTTACACAATTATAAGATGTAATTA